ATTTTTAAATACATCTTTTAAAAAAAATTAAAAAATTAATAAAATTAAAAACAGATGTCTTGATTTTTCATACTCCCTAACAATCTGCAAAACACTTTTCTCTCGTAATAATAACCATATTGCTAGTTAAAAATGGGCCTGCCTTGCCTAGCCATTAGGCAATGGACAGGCAGTGGTCCTGAGAATTCGGCTCTGCCCAATTACAAAAACTGTAGTACCCTAGTGTATAGATAAAGTGGCCTTAGGAAGAGACAGGATGACTAATTTGAAACGTCATCAAATTCCTTTACTAATGATTCACCAAGACCAGGATTCCTGACAGATATTGAATGAAACATTCAAAAATGTAAGCATGAAAAGAGTAGCAAGTTGTGCTTACCAGAGAGATCTAATATTTCTAATGCCCTGATGTTTTCAAAGGTGGCGGGAATTTGAGTTTCCTCCATAAAATTAGAATGCAATAGACAAATAACCAAAACAGGTTATTGATACTTGTGAGCTAGAACAGATCACGTTGATAAACAGAAAAGAAAAGGATCAAACTTTGATCTTTTAATTGCTCAGATCCTTCAACCATAAAATAAGATGTTCACAACTTCCTCTCTTAATTGTTAACCGTCCTCCATACTGCCATTTCTTTTTCCAATTTTTTATATATAATAGTAAGATGATGAAACCCATCCTATTTGGAAAGGTGATTCTAATGAAAAAGATTGTTGAACTCCCTAAATTGGATATCATTTCTTTTATGGTTTTCACTTTTCAAAAACAAAACTGCTGTTTCTGCAGATCATGACAAGTGAAATTTCTGATGCATATTAAATCAATAATTTGGCCATGTTTACTTGCTTGAAGCATTGAACCTTCTGTTTTATTTGTCAGGTGCTCCAGTTTGGATAGGGAAGAAGAAAAGAAAAGGAGACAGAGATGATGTTACCATTTAGATCAATATTTGGGGAGAGGTAAATAAGCCATTTATTTACTTGAAAAGGATAAATTTGATTACAGAAGTCATCTTAATGAGTATCGAACTGTTCTTGCCATTAAATTTTGATGGATTTTTGGATGAAGAAGATTTAAGAACAAGAACTCAGGAAAAGACTTTGATGAAAAATACAGGTCTGGATTTTCGTTTTTCCAGCCTTTCTCTCATTCATCTCATCTTCATCTACTACTGATTTTTCATACAAGTGCAGCTTAAATAAAAAGAGGGATTACACTGGTTAGTATCCCCTCAATCGTACAGAGAACTACGTTTAATGCATATTTTCCGCAGAGTTGACAAATCTGCACCATTTTCTTCCAACTGCATTTTGTAGTTTAAGTATCACATCTCAACTCCCAACTAACTATTAAATACACCCACTACATTAATTGAGGAGAGTTACAGTACAGCACTTTTAACAATTTTGAAATAAAAGAGCTGGCGCTTTTGCAGAGCTACAATATGCATGCATATGATACAATCAATTTCTTACACCTACATCCTTGAAAACTTTTTATACAGATCTATTTGGGAAAAATATCACTATAGCATCATTTTTTTATAATTTCTTTCTTATTTTGAAAGTAGTGTCAATTTGAAACTAAGGAGCTGGAAATAAATTGCATTAACAATTTCTTAGCCTAACATTTCCCAGTTTGCTAGAGAAAGTTCTTAATGTCATCGGGGGCCACATCAAGTCAAGTCTTTGCTTACAATAAAGTTCCGATCATTGCCATTCCTCTGGTTTCGTTAAACTTCATGAAACTACCCGCAAGTCTTCCAATTGTATTCGTTAGCTATAGAAAGTCCCAAATGTCGTGGGAAAACGTTTCAAGTCTTGTTTTTGCTAACAATAAACTTCCGAGTAATTGCCATTCTTGCGGATCCAATAAATTCCATCGAACTTTCCTGCAATCATAGTCAAGTTTGCTACAGAAAGTCCTCAATGTTATCGGAGCACTGCTTCAAGTCAAGTCTTTGCTTACAAGAAACTTCCAAGTGATGCCATTCTCCTGGTTCTGATAAACTCCAGGGAACTTCCTAAGTCTTCCTATTGTCCTTCCCAAGAAATGTTAAAAAAAGAAATGATGTTTATTGAATGAGTTAAGTTTTCTTCCATTACATTTTAAACTTGTATATCCGTAATTTATTTCATGTAACTTTTGATCTTCTGTACCTCTCTTTCTTGATCTATTCACTCTTGATGAATTAAGCACTTTTAGAACAAGTGGGGGTTCATGAAATTTTTGAGACTTGAGACAGTGTATCGAGGGATAGTATTTTGCTAATTATTATCAGGATAGTATTTTCTTCTATTGACCTCCGGTTCCTTTACAAACTTTAAATTTTGAATGCATGAGAAGGGTGGACCTAAGGAATATCAGACTTGAAAATTTGACATGTGGTTCATTTTGTTTGTAGATTATATTTATTCCACTCTATTCAATATTTTAAAAGATAATATTTAAAATCTTGTATAAACTCAACAATTTATTGTGTGACCATAATATTTATATGATTAGTGCATGGTCTTTTTTGTAGTGATAGTTGAATGTGAAAATGGTTAGAATTTCCAAAAGCTTGGAGTCATGAATTTTTCAAGGACCTAACACCAAATAATGGTTACAATCTTATGTTAGATTGTATGGTTTCCTTTCAGGTTGATGACTAAAAAACCAACCATCTTGAGCTTCACTTCTTGGTAACTTGCAGAGCATCCACGATAACAATCAATTTTAGAATTTTGGGTACAAATGGATACATCACTTACTACATTGCTTGAATTTTCTGCGTTCAATTGTCTCTTTAATCTTCCAATTGCCATACTTTTTCTGATAAAATTCATGGAACTTCCCAAGTCTCCCTATTACATTCATTGTCAAGTCTGCTACAGAAAGTCCTCAATGTTGTTGGGCGAACGCTTCTTGTCAAGTCTTTGCTTACGATAAACTTCCGAGTAATTGCCATACTCCTGGTTTTCATAAACTCCATGAAACTTCCCAAGTCTTCGTATTGCACTCATAGTCAAGTTTGCTACAGAAAGTCCTCAATGTTTTTGAGGCACCACTTCAAGTCAACTCTTGGCTTACAATAAACTTCCAAGTAATTGCCATTCTCCTGGTTCTGATAAACTCCAGGGAACTTCCGAAGTCTTCTTATTTCCCTTCCCAAGACTTGTTAATAAAAAAAAAAAAAAAAAAGTGACGTCTATTGAATGAGTCTTCCTTTACATTTTAATAAACTTGTATTTCCATACTTTATTTCATGTAACTTTTGACCTCCTCTACCTCTATTCCTTGCTTTATTCACTATTGGTGAATTGTGCATTTTTAGGACACATAGGGGTTCATGAAATTTTTGAGACCTAAGACAGTGTATCAAGGGAGAGTAATTTGCTTATTATTAGTGGGATAATATTTTCTTCTATCGACCTCCTTGCTCCTGCACAAGCTTTAAATTTTGAATGCAAGGGTAATGAATCTAAGGAATATCAATAGACTCGAAAATTTGACATGTAATTCATTTTGTTACTGGATTACATTTATTCACATTGTTCAAGATTATGCACAGAACATATTAGCTCAATAGAATTTCATATCTGCAAACTTGTAGCAGTTTTAACTTTTTGGAGTGTTGAATTTTAGCACAATCTGTTGTGTAAAATAATGATATTCAAATAAGCATTATATTTTGGTTACTCATACTTGTGCTCCAACAACACAGCTTGTCACAAGGCGACCCAAGTTACAGAATAACCTGCAATAACAAGTTAGTTGACCTATTTGCCTCTCGTCAGTCTTTGCTGTGTCCAAGTTCCAACCATGCAGGATTTCCTGGGAATTTTTTTGATACTTTTTTATTTTCTTATGTTCTGAACGGATGAACTTCTCATTTTTTTGTTAAAATAAAACATTAATTTCACAAAATTTTGAAGTTGAATCTGAATTTGTTTAAGATGTTTTCCATCCTTATCTTGTTGTTTTTATTATCTTTTAAAGTTGTACTAATTTACTAAACGCTATGGAGTCAAAATTTGTAAGGCCTTTATTTTGCTTCAGTTGTTTAGGCATTTAATAACAACAACAACAAACCACAAGAACTACTAACAACATGTTTAAGTGTAAGAAGTTTGGTTCCTCTTAAGTAAGGTTTCGAGTTCGAATTGTATGAATGGAGAAATACGCGGTGGAAGAGTTTTTGCCCAATGTAGCTCAATTTCGGATTGGTGGAGACCCAATGTAATTACCGGATACCAGAATGTTAATACCAAAAAATAAAAAAACAAACCACAAGAACTAAGACAACAAACAGTTAAAGGACAATCATGCCACATAACCTAATAGTACTCCTTCAACTATTTTTTTAACTCTCTTTGATTAACATTTCTGTTAGATGCAGTTATGTTTGCAGAATATTAGACTAAAGTTCAAATTAGATAGAAGGCAAATACATGTGCTTAAATTACGATAACCAAAAGGAGTGGAAGTTCTAATCTATTTATTGACTTTTTCATTTCAACCACTAGGATCATATCACGTATATCCTTTATGATTTAAATATAGAGAATTACCATGAAATTACGTTGGCATTTCGGAGGACAAAGAATGATTGCACCAACTTATGTCAGCGTCAAGAGTGTTGATTTTGTCTTTTGGAGTCTGGATAGAGTGCTTGAGACATTTCCTTAGAAAACCAATTGTTATGACACTTCAGAATAAAAATAACAGATACGAGGAAATGGAAGGGAAAGGAATTAATTTGTTTAACATTTCCATTTTTGCTACAAGTAGAATCAGGAAAGGATAAAAAACAGATCTGAAAATCAAACCTACACGTTTAATCTGAAAGAAGAAGAATGGCACATAAAGACATAACTAGTAAAGTATATGAGGTGGCATTATTTGGGAAGAAACAGGATGACTTCTCTTGAACTTTATCACATTCCTTATCCAGTGGTGAGCCACAAATGCCAGGAGGTGCGGATGACTTCTCTAAAACCTCATCACAGTTCTTAGTCATTGGAACGCCGCAAAGGCCAGAATTTCCCATGTAAGAATCATTACCAAAGGTGTTGAATTGGTTCCCTCTGGTATCTTGCCTGACAGATTGTTGAAAGCAACATTAAAAACCGACAAATACGTAAGATTAATTAGTTCCTCAGGTAGTTTACCAGAGAGAATGTTTCGAGAAGGATCTAGGCTTTCCAACTCCATCATGTTTCCAAAGGTTTTCGGAATTTGACCTGTGAGAAGGTTGTTGGACAAGTTCAGGGCTCTATAAGTCTTTTCAGCTGTGTCATTTGCACAGGGATCGTCCCTGTCAATCTGTTGATGGACATATCTATGATACATAGATAGGAGTCAATTCTTACCCTGAATGCACCTAACCTACCTTCGGCACGGAGTGGAACTGTAGTGTAAGGTTCCCTTGCTTTGTTGAGACCAGGCGTCTCATTTGTCCAGGAAGTAATATTGTCAATACACGTCGGAATGCCACCGGATAGATTATTCCTTGAAAGGTCTAAAATTTGCAAATGTCTCATCTGGCATAGTTGCTGTGGTATTTCCCCTTCAAAATTGTTTCCTCCAAGGAGGAGGACTCTTATTTGAGAGAGAACATGCAAGTATGATGAAAGCTCACCTGACATGTTAGTTTCTCGAATGTCAGCAAGTAGCAAATCCATGCTCTTTGACAGGCTATCTGGGAAGTTTCCAGTGAAGTGATTTCTGTGAAGATAAAGCCACCTCAATTTAGGCATGCTGGAATTTTTTGGAAGTGCCTCTCCTGTCAAGTTGTTCTGAGATAATCCCAAATATTCAAGAGAGCTCATATTGCTTGTCATGCCATAAGGGATTTCTCCATGGAATTGATTGCCTGATAGTTCCAGAAACATAAGCTGTTTCATTCTAACAAAGGATGGAGGAAGCTTGCCACTAAAATTATTCAAGGAAGCATTTAGATTGTGCAATTCTGGAAAATTGACACCAATATGTTCAGGAAATGACCCTGATGAAAGATTATCAGAGATGTCAAGTTCAGTAAGCTGTGAACTGTTCTGAAAGGACTTAGGAAATGGTCCTATGAAACCATTTCTTCTTAGCTGTAACTTTTTAGAGACATTGTCAAGCATCCATGAAGGAATCTTCCCTATGAGTGAATTGCATGATAAATCTAGTGATTCCAAGTGCCTCTGTGAGGAAATGAAGCTGGGGATGGTCTTGAGGTTACAAGCGGCTAAATTTAGCACAGACAGATTGAAAGATGGAACCCAAGTTATGGACTCAGTTTCAACTTCCAAGGAATTCCATGAGATGTCAAGGGAACTTAGCCTCGATAAATTTGCAAAGTGCGAAAGTGAAATCCTGCCCTTGAACTCATTTCCTGAGAGAATAATTGACTGAATATTTGTTAGGTTGCTAATTGATAACGAAGGAAAGGAACCATTGAAACTATTATCAGAGAGATCTACGTATTCAAGTGAAGTCATATTTCTCAAGCATGCGTCAATGTTTCCGATTAGAAAGTTATCGGACGGAAATAGCTCTTTGACACGAAGATTCTCACACAGGCATTTTGGAATGTCACCTTCTAACTTGTTTGTTGACAAATCTAGGAAATGAAGTGAAGAAATTTTCCCCCAACAGAGATGTGAACCAACTTGTATGGAGTTGTCATGGACATCAATCTTCTGAAGCTGCTTTAGTCGTCCAAGCTCTGCATGTTTCATCCATAAAATTAGAATATTGTTTAGTGGGTTATTGTGAAATTTGAACCCGATAGATGGTATTGATATATAGAGAGAAAATTTTAATACTTTACACCTTAAATCTTACCGATTAATTAAAAAGGTTATATAAGCATCCTAAATCTTGAGCAACACATATCTTTATCTAACATTGTTCAATTTTGTTTCAATATTAAAATAAAATATTTTAAAAAAATTCCTCTCAATTTTTCCTCTTTTTTATTCTACTCTTTTTTCCCCATTTTTAACAAATGTTAGTAGCAAGAAGAAACAAAGAACATATAGTTCACAGTGTTTACCGTTGGGTGAAATGAGTACCCCAATTTGATTTCCAGGTAGTTCAAGTTCTTGCAAGTCCTTAAACTGAGCAAATACGGTAGCATTTGGGTACCATAATTCAGGCAAGCTTTGATCCCTCCTATGGTGAAAGCTAAGCCTAATGACACGAGTTGTCGATGGATTGCACTCAACACCCTCCCACTGGCAACAGTCTTCCTCATACCAACTTGAAAAAGCAGTTCCCTGCGGACTGTTTATTGAACGTTTGATTTGCCCTAGAGCAACCCTTTCTTCATCCATGCAACCATGGCACTTTAGGCACATAAGCAAGAGAAAGAACAAGAAGAAATTGTAAGTGATTGTAATCTGCATGAGAAAACCTTCTTTGTTCATGAAAATTGTTGAGCTTCCTAATTAGGTGTCATTTCTTATCTAGTTTGCATAAGCAAAGTTTCTCTTTCTGCCAGTCAAGTCAAGTGAAATTTCTATGGTAATTAAATCAATAATTTGACCACGTTTACTTGCTGCGATGAACCTTCATTTGTCTTTCTTTGGTTGTTATGTATGGATAGGGAAAAGAAACAAATAGAGATATACATTTTCAAAGTAGAAAATCAATTGGTTGGCCAAAAGAATTTGGTAGCTGAATTATACGAATCATTTACATTCAAAGTCAAAGTCTTTGCTTGCATGCAATTAGTCCCTTTTGATAAAAAAGGAACTTTTGTTAGCTTTCTTGCAACTTCCCTAGTCTTCTATTGGTCCTCTAGTGGTAACAAGGAAACTCTCCTATTGACATGTCCAAACACATAAGTTTAGATCCAATTTCTATGCAATATAGGGATAACATAAGAAATGACATATCCACGAAATTAAATGAATTCTCTCTCTCTAATGCAAATCTCAGGCTTTTCTACCACTCTTCATTTCCTCTGCTTGAATACTAGAATGAAACACTGTTTTGTGCTAATTATAAAAGAAAAAAGAATGAAACAGAGTTGTACATTGGTGCATTTTTTTTAGTTTATCTTGTTTAGGAACAAGGGGTAATTTACTAGAGTAAGGAGAGACAGAGAAAGAGAGTTAAAACTGCATAATTTGCCACTATGGCAATTTTCTCTGCTAATGTTATTGAGTTGTTTTTGTTTGTAGTGCTGATAGTCTTTCACAACAATGGATGGTGCAGAGGTTGCTTA